CCATCTTTCCGCTCCTTGGAGGCTCCCAGCTGCTCTTCTGCTCAGAGCCTTCGCGTGTCATGTTCCTTCTCCGTTCCACGCTCATCTCCTCCCTGCTGCGCCCGGCTCCTCTTCCCCACACACGCGCATGCCTGACTCCAGCTCATCTTCAGAGCCCAGCTGAGGTGTCATCCCCTCAAAGAAGCCTTCCATAGCCCGCTCCACCACGTCAGTCTCCCTTGCAAAAATGCGCTCCTTGCACCTGGTCTGTCTCCAGTGGGGCACGTCTCAGAAGTGTTGCTATTATAAATGTTATGACAATAACTCTCTCAGGTGGCAGTTCTAGCCGACTTGCTCCCAGCCCCTCACAAAGAGCTGAATGCGTGTGTGCTCGCCGGTGCAGTCAGACTCACACAGTCCTCAGTCAAAGGTATTAGCTTTCCGTCCACATTCTGGTTATTACAAGTACACTCTCCCTCCCTCTTTGATAGGAAATTGCAGTTTTCCACCTAGAGATCCCATCATTACCTCTGATCCTACCTCTTAAAAGCATTCACAAACTTCAATTTTTTGCTCAGAAAGTACTCTCAGATGCACAGATCCTGGAGTGCCGCACTGGCTGTCTGCTAAACGTGTCCTGACATTCATCCCTTCCTTCCTTCCTTCATCCAGCAGGTATTTATTGCCCACCAGCAGTGCCCAACTGAGCCTCAGCGCTGAAACTGTATTTATGTTACTCTCGCCCCGTATGATTCTCTCTCCCAAACCAACTCCATCTGCCAATTATTCATCTGCTTTTCCCATGAAATAACTGCTGTGTCACCTGGGTCTACAAAAGTACAACCCAAAGTAAACGAATATTAGACTTCAGTGGTCCGTGTGCTTCATCACAATCAGATAAATGCAGATCTTCCCTGAGACTCCTCTGTCACAGTCTGAACCACCACCAACACCCCCAGCCTGCGGCCCGTACCCACAGCCGGAGCCCTAGGGTCAGGCAGAGACAAGAGAAGCAGCTCAGGCCCCGCTCGGCCCACCCCCGACACCACACACCAGGAGCCGCCACCAGACCTTCCTTGATACCCCTCAGCACTGGCTGACCTGACAAAAGCTGCTTTGCAAAAGCACCGGATTGCAGTCTTGCGTTGTGCGTGGGAGAAGCTTGAGAACCACAAGACACGGAGCGTGAAACTGCAGAAAGGGCCTGGCAACAACCTAAGTAAGGCGCGATCCCCCAGGAGGGCAGCTCCCGTGCTGTGGCCACGACACCCCACCCCTCATCTAGTTCTTTTTTCCCCTCGTTTTTTTTTTATTTATTTTTATTTAAGTGTAGTCAGTTTACAGTGTTGTGTTAATTTCTGCTGTACAGCCTGGTTACACATACATATTATTTTTCATATTCTTTTTCATTACAGGCTATTACAAGGTATTGAATACAGTTTCCTGTGCTACAGTAGGACCCTGCTTATCTATTTTATATAAAGTAATGAGTTCAGGGTCTACAAACCCTGAACTCCCAACTCCTAATCTACTTCTTACTGAGTCCAGCTCTAGAGTCCCTGCTTTGGAGTTGCAGCTCGCTGGGACCAGCTGCCTCTTCTCCCAGCGCCAGAGCTGTAAGGGGTCCTGCAGAGTGGCACTCGCCTTACAGGCTTCTGGCCTGTGACTTCAAGGCGTATTTTCCTTCCCTTGTTCTCAACACCTGCCCCTCCTTCCCTGAGTCCCCTGACCCTGCCTCAGTCCCTCTGCTTCCTGAATGGCGGTACCACTTCTGCTCCACAGCAAGGCATTCCAGTCTGGAGGGATGGAACCCCAAAGGCCTTCCTGGTTAGGAAGGAGCTAGAGATTTTCTATTACTAATCACCAAAGCCTATTTTAATCCTCTACATATTATTTAACTACAAACTAAGTGATCAGCCAAATATCTATGTCTTAAAAAAATTATTTACAAACTGAAAAATAAATATAAATGAAAAACAAAATGATTTTATTTTTTAGTTCCACAACAAAATACAGTCAATTCTGAAAAACCACACCACGCTGTAACTCTCCATGCTGGTCAGGTGACGTGAGGCACACCAGGCAAGTGACTCACTTTGCTGCCGCTGAAAGGAAGCCCTACTTTGCATCCCTTTCTGTTTCCTTAAATCGCCAAGATCGCACACCGGTGTTTACTGAAACAGCCAACAGATTTGGTTCTTTGACATGTGCCAGCCCAATGGCAACAAGAACTCTGAAAAATAAAGACTCTCCAAACCATTTTTATGACTCAGCGGAAAGCTTCAGACTGGGAGGGAAAAGCACATTTCACTTTGTGCTGGTCAAGTATAGTTGGCTGGAATCAGTTTGTTTCTCTCACTTTCATTTACGAATTCCACAGTATTACTTCCTTCTCCGTGCTTTTCTGAACCTTCCCAAATTTCTACATTAACTAATAAATTTAAAAATGAAAAAAAACATTTATCACAGACATTTTTTCCCAGAAAATAATGTTCTTTTTTTTTTAATTGTAGTATAGTTGATTTACAATGTTGTGTTAGTTTCAGGTGTACAACATAGTGATTCAGTTATACATGTATACATTCTTTTTCATATTCTCTTTCATTATAGGTTACTACAAGCTATTGAATATAGCTTCCTGTGCCATACAGCAGATCCTTGTTGTTTATCTATTTTATACATACTAATATATCTGTTAATCCCAAACTCCTAATTTATCCCTCCCCCCTTTCCCCTTTGGTAACCTTAAGTTTGCTCAGAAAACAGTATCTTCATGAAGTTGTATTACATGCAAAATCTGTAAAACTGATCATGGTAACAGCTAATACTTCTTTGGCACTTATTATGTGCCAGACACTACAGTATTCTTAGGCCATTAAAAACAAAACAAAAAGCAGGCCACCAGCTATGGGCTGCAATTCTCCTGCTCCTGGTTCAGAGCTGCATCTCTCACACTGGATGACAGGATACCTGAGAGCAGGGACCATCTCTAACTCATCTTTGCATCCCCAGCTCCAGGCACATAGAAGGTGTCAAATTACTGAAGTTAACTGAACTGAAGCAACAATAACTCATTTATCCTGATGAGTCAAAGACATTCCTGGATAACTTCCCCAAATCTTGAACTGTCTCAGTAAAAAGCCATTCTGCATTTTGAGTCTCTCAGACAGCTGGACATTCAAACTAAACCAGATCCCTGGGTGAAGGGGGAAGTACATGCTTTCAGCCTCACTTAATAAGGAAAACTATGATGTTCAGCCCCAGAGCCTCTCCCTCCCCAAATGTAAAAAACCAAGAAAGTCCTTCTCGCTTAGATAGAGTCCAAAGCTAGACTGCTCCCTGGGCCCCCACATAGAATACAACTCCAGCGACTCCAGCTTTCCAAGTAACCCGCTCAGTCTCTCATCCTAGAAAATCACTGAGACTTGTGATGCTATTTACCAGGTAGCCAGCCCAGCTAAAGGTGATTCATTTACTTCCCATCTCGCCATCACTGGGGAGAAAGCATTTTTCTAAGTCATTAAACACCAGAGAAACACTGGCATTATCATCATTATTGCTGTCACCCTCTTCCTGGGTCCTCTCAACCACAAACGCTCCAGAAGGGAAAGGATCACCCGTCTCTGGTTAAGGAAACAGCACTGTTAAGCTGTTAGAGACGAGCTGTCATCACTTCAGGGGCCCAGTTCCTGGCTTGCCGGGGCTCTCAACAGCATGAGCTGGGAGGAAGAGGAGGAAACCAGGGGCGGACAGAGCCGTTGCTAAGGAGGAAATGGCCCTCTGTGCACCTGCTCTGTGAAACCAGGGCTCCAGTTTCCAAAGGAACGAGGCAAACTGGAGGCAAATTTCATGCATACCTCCATCAGGCAGGCACACCTGGGCCCAGGGAGGCATGCCCAGGAGGTCCAGACAGCATCAACCTCCAAGCCAGGCAGGGCTTTGCATGTTTGTTTAGAGCAGGAGTTCAGCCAGCATCAACCCCCTACATAACGAAGCAGGCCAAGAGCTGGCTGTGCTGCTGGGATCTCCCCCTGCCGGCCAGGTGCAGGCGAGGACGCCAGCCCTGTAAGCATCTGGAGTGAGGAACCAGAAGGAGCCAGTCAGAGTGGGCAGGTTAATGTTCCTGGGCAGCCCCCGTTCCTGGGCACCAGGTAGGTTTCAACCAAATCCCAAACCCCACTTTCTGGAGGAGGTGAGGTACCTAATGTGCTCCAGAACAGAGATGAGGGTACCAAGAGGGGCCAGTGAAAACCCACCATCCCCAGATAAAGTCAGCAGCCCCTAAGTAGTAGGTCCTATGACCTTAGCTCCCTATACATTAGTTGTCCCCAGGAGAGGCCACTGTTTCACACACTGCAGCTCCTGAATTCAAACTATCCGTTTGTGAACTGTCAGAGCTGACTCACGCTCTGCCCAGTACGAAGTCACACCAGCCCAGTCACTTCCAGCCCGTCAAGCCGCTCAGCATCCTCACCCGCCCCCAGACACACGCAGCCCTGTGCTTCTCTTTGAGAGGCTTCCCAGGCGCAGTTAAGAAGAGGACCGAGATTACCAAGGGTCACCAAAGGGTGAGAAAAAACCAAACACTGCGCGTGCCCACGGGCTGGGTCAGCGCCAATACTGTCAGCATCTCTCTTAGCTTGAAGTTGATAGGTATACAGTCGAATCTTCTGAGCAGATGTGTTTATAAGGAGCCTTTCACTCTGACCTATTCATAAATAGAAGAGCTTCCTTGCTCACAACACGTTCAGAAACGCCAGCATCACTTACAGCCAGTTAGTGACACTGTACCATGTCCTAGGTTCTCCTCACACTAAAAACAGTGGCGCACTAGTGATTAAGAAGAGAGACGCATGCTCCTGACAATTAGGCGATCTGGTTAAATGGTGGGTCTGCAACCCACACGTGGGAGCAAAAAAAACCAACCAAAACAAAATGTTAAATCAGTAAACCAACAGTGCTTTACTAAACATGCACAACGTGAGGACAGGAAACATAGAATAGAAGGCGTGGTACGTTACCCAGAAGCCCTGCTAACGACCGCATGTCCTTCTCCATCAGCATGTAAATCTCCTCCTCTGAGAAGCGGCCAATGCCATGGCCGTGCATCTCGCGCTTCACAATTCCTTTCGTTATGTGGCACACGAGCCACCTCAGCAGGTTACTGAAGGGACCGCCACCACTAAGAGAGAGCATCTTCCGGGTCTCATTGAGATTGTCCACCCACTGGCAATAAGCTAACGTCCTGGAATTGCGTAGAAACAAGTTACTGCTGTGCGTTAGGTACATATCAGCTCTAGAGTCCATTTCTAGTGAGGGGTTCGGAATTTAGCAAACTCTGGAGGAACAGAACCATTGCCACTTCTACAAGGAGCTGTCTGCAAGGCAGACAGGACAGCAGGCTCAAGTTCATGCCCAGGCTTAGGGCCTGTGAGAGGGATGGTGACAAATCCAGATAGTGCGTCCATGCCACCGTTCCCCCAAACCTCTCCTGCACCTGCCCTCAGACATCCACCCCTCCCTGCCCCACCGCAAGGCCATGCTTCTGCTTTCTCTTAAGCAACCCCACAGAAAACAAGTAGAAATCCACTTTAAAAGGCTTTTAGGTGTACCTACAGGGGCTGGGGCGGGGCGGAGGGGAGTGGTATCGGGAAAGAGGTGGCAGTCACTGGGGTGTTAGCTTCATTCATGCTTTCTTTTCTTTCTTTTTTTTTTTTTACTTTTAATGGAGGTACTGGGGATTGAACCCAGGACCTCGTGCATGCTAAGCATGCACTCTACCACTGAGCTGTGCCCTCGCCTTTTCCCAGCTTCATTCCTTCTTGATCAAAGTCATGGTTACACAGGTATATGCTCTGTGTTCATTAATTAAGCTGCACATTTTTGTTTTGTATGCTGTGTGCATGCATTTTATATTTCCTGATGTAAAAGGATTTTTTTAACAAGGCACCTTTTTGCCTTTTTGACAGGATTAGGGAGAAGGTATAGCTGTCCATGTTTACTATGAACTATATAAATTATAAGGGGGGAGGATAGCTCAGTGGCAGAGCACAGGCTTAGCATGCACAAGATCCTGGGTTCAATCCCCAGTACCTCCATCAAAAAAATAAGTAAACCTAATTACCACACCCTGCAAAAAAATAAGAATAATAATTTCTTAAGGGTGAGGGTATAGTCAAGCAGTAAAGCACATGCTTAGCATGCACGAGGTTATGGGTTCAATCCTCAGTACCTCTTTTAAAAATAAATAAACCTAATTACCTCCCCCTGCCAAAAAAAAATGTTTAACTATATAAATTATAAATGTTACATAAATGATTCACTCTCCAGAAAAGCAACTTTCGGCTTCAGTTGTTCGCCAGGACTCTAAAGTGAATACAGACACCAAAGGAACTGGGTTGGATCCTTATTCTCATCTGGGTGGTCCTTGTGGCAAACCCACCCGTGCAGGTGCTCGTACGTGAAACGTGTGGACAGGTCAGCTGGTCACCGCCCGTGTGCTATGCTGGCTGCAACCCCCAGGCCTCAGCTGATGTTGTTCCATGAACTGTGCAATCGCAGGACTGTTTTTATGGTTAATGGTGTTGGTGGAGAGAAATTAAAAGGGTTTCTTACTGAAGGCTGAGGAAAAGGTAGCTGTGGGCATACAGGCACAAGATATTTTCATTTCTCGTCACAAAGAGCAAGAGAAGCCGAATCGGCAGTCATCTCCACTCCTAGCGTTGGTGACAGAACCGTAACAGCCGCTTGGAAAACATCAGCAGAGCGAGAATATTTTTGACAGAGAGAACGCAAGGGGTGATAGCAAACTGTAGCTACTTTCCCCTCAAGAAAAAGCAACAAAGCTGAAAATAAGGCCCTCAAATGTTGATCATTTTATAATGTTTTATTCTTTTCAGTGCTCTGTCCTCTAAAATATGAAAATAAGAAAAACAGATTTCTCCAAAATTTTTTAAGGATTCCTGATTTTTACTGAAAAGTCCTGCAATCAACATACTGTGTACTGCAACCATCACTCTTCTTAATAAGCTTTTTAAGAGATGCCTACAAATCTGGTTAGAAAGCTTTGTGCACCTCTTTTTGTAGGTCTCTCAAAATAAACTATTGAGGGGTCAAGAAATTTTGAAATGAGGAAAAGTACATTGCAATGGTGACTAATCAATGTGTACAAAGTCAATAAAACTTTTGATATAAAAGATTTCACATTTATCCTAGCAGATTCTTTATAAACATGCAAACTAAATGCTTTTCTATTTGCTCTTCTTATACCTGCAGAAATTAGGGTGTCACTTTTCACATTCCATTAGAATAATCAGCACTTTGATTCTAATTGTACTAGATCTAAATTCACAATAAAAGGCCTAGACCATCCTTGACTACTTTGGGAATCAGTGACCTGAGAATAAAACCAAATTAAGTTAAACATGACCACGTAATAAAAGCATCCAGAAGTATCTAAAGTGTGAAAATGAGAAATATGGTGGCTCTAAACTGAAAGGTTGATGTGAAAAAGAATTCATTCTTTGTAAACAAATTGCACAGGTTTTCTCAAAAGCGTAACTGATCTTCAAGGATGAGCAGGAGAAGGCAACAGGTGAAGAGCCCTGACTGGTCAATGAGCTGCAGGACCTTCAGGACAGGCAGCCGGGGTCCGGGATGCCTGAGGGAGCTGGTAAGAGCTGAAGTCAGGAGGGTGGACAAGATGGGGTCAGGATGAGTCTGATGCAGAGGGTGCTGAGATTAATTTTTAAAGCAAAGTTTAACCACTGAAGAGATGAGAAACATAATCAAACGTGGGGCAATGTGAGGAAAGGACCGGAGACACTGACCAAGGAAGCCATCTCTCAGGCTGATGGTGAGTGGATGGTAATGTCATTAATCAGTACGGGCACACACAGGGTGGGACAGATTGCGGGGATGAAAGACAAGTTAGCCTAGTCCATCTGAAGGTCCCCTGGAACCTCCAAGAGAGGATGTCCAGAAGGTGGAAAATTCAGAAGATAGGTTTAGACTCAAGATAAAGAATGTATAAACAACCAGGTCCTACTAGATAGCACAAGGAACTATATTCAACATCCTGTAATAAACCATAATGGAAAAGAAACAAAAAGAACTGACACAACACTGTAAAATGACTACACTTCAATAAAAACTATACATATATACAAAAAAAAATTGTTGGGCAGGGTCATGGCAGTGGCAGTTTTAAAGAGGAGAGGAGATGAGGTCACCTGAGAAAGTTTCTAGGGTAAGAAGTGATTTGGAAGAAACTTAGTTCAAGGGCAAGTGAGAAGGCAAGAAGGTCAGGCTGGAAGGGCCAGCCTGGAGAGAAGTAGGGACACCATTTTCTGTGAGATGGAGAGGTGAGGGGCTGCAGAGAGGTTCCAAGTCTCCTCTAAGAGCGGGAAGTGTGGGCACGTGCAGAAGAAGAGGACGCAGCAGTGGGAAGAGTTTTTGAGAAGACTGGTGGGTTAGAGGTGGGATGGAGGAGGCAGCTGTCTGGGCCGCACAGCAGTGAGGAGACTCCCCACCACCAATGCAATGGTGTTAGGTTCTCCATCTGCATTAGCAAGCTGAATGCAGGGCACAGAAGAAACACTGGGTTGATTCGGAATTTTGCTGCTAAAAGTAACCTCAGAAACTGTCTGGCTTTCCTCCCTTCTCTTTCCCACACTGCTCCTGATTTCCCTCCTCTCTTCCACTCCCTGTGCCCAATATTGTAGACCAGTGTCGGGGAAGAGAGCAGATCAGGGCCCAGCAGGCTCTCCCAGGGTTGAACCCCAGGAAGTGTGTGTAAACTACAATGCAAAGAACACCGGTGCTTCATGGCTCCTACATCAACTGCTATAGGTCCAAGACATCACTTACACATGCCATCATATCATAGCAACCACAAATCTCCGTCCTCCCACCCCGGCTTCCTGAAAACTCTCCACGTGCCAGGGGCTTCTGCCCCCACCACTCCACCCCTCTCGTCCAAGTCAGCAATCCTTCCCTGCTGCAAAATCCAAATAAATCTTCTTTCCATATTTATCTTTCTGGAACTCTCTGCAGCATCCAACACTATCTGCCACTTTCTTTGAATTCTCCCTTAGCTGACACCTCTACCGCCTTTCCTCTCATCTCTCCCACGTTCAAGACTTTTATCTTGGGTCCTTCTGCCTTGTTACACCTCATTTGCGGGGTGATCTGTTTCACACTCACAATTTCAAACTGAGGACTCCCAGCTCCACATCCATCCCTGAGACCTCAGTCCCGAGATCCCCGCACCGAGGTGAGGAAGCCTCGGAACTGCAGACCAACATTTCCAAGCTTGGGCTCATCACCTTCCTCCTCTTCTGCCACTCTTCACCCAAACTAGAAAGAATCCCAAGAGTTATTCTCCACTGCTCCCTCCCCCTCCCTCCTGTCAGCCTGTGGATTTGCCCTTTTCTCCAATCCAATTCGCACTGTAGTGCAGGCTTCACCACTTCTTAACCCTGAGGACAGTAGGTCTCCTGATGTCCCCTCAAGGCCCTCCAGAAACCCATTTTCGCCAAGGCAGCCACAAAAGGTTTCCTAAAACACAAATCTAATGGTATCACGCTGCTTCTCAGCCTCTTTCATCAACTCCCCACAGCTCCTTAGCTGGCCCGCCGGCCACCACCGCCGCCCCCCGGCACCGCCGCCCTTCCCACAGTCTGACCCCATCACCGGCATTGCCTCCAGGGCACCCACCACACAGAATGAAATGTACCTCCCAGATGCCTTTCTTGCCTCTAAACTTTTGCAGATGCTACCCCCTCTGCCTCAATACCCTAATCTTCCCCTACCACCCAGCCCCTCCACCTGCCACTCTGACTGTCCCTAGATTCTGCTGTGACACCACCTCCTCTGGGAGGCTGTCCTCTCATCACTCCAGCAGGCACTGGCTGCCTGGCCTCAGCTCTTCAAACTCTCCCCCAGCGCCGGCCATTATGCAGGCTGGGTGTCTCCCTCCCTGGGAGCCGCCTGAGGACAGAGACAGCATCTAGTCACCTTGCTTCCCCCACATCCAGCCCAGTGCCAAGCCACTGGTGGTCACTCACTCACCAAGTTTGCTGAAAGAGTGAATTACTGATTGAATGAAAAGTCTTCACTTCTGAGCTGGCTACTGCTAAGCAGCGTCTCTAAGGGAGGACAATATTTACACAGAAAAGTGGAGAGACACCCTTGAAAAACGGTGTCCCGTTCTGGGATCTGCCTCTTCACCCTCCACGGGAAGAGGCGCACTGCACAAGGAATCATGAATTATTAACTAGAGAGGATGGCAGGGTCAGTTTGGAAACCAGACCAGGCTGAGCAATTAAAATATTTTATCATTCTGAGAGCCTCTTCCAGGAAGTTGATACTCATTTTATCACAACTGATGTATCTGATCTCTCCTGCAAAATGAGGTCAAAGGTTTTTATCAAAAATGATTATCTTAGAATACAAGAGTAAACTTTGCTCAAACATTTTTGAAGAAGACTGAGAAAGCAGGAAAGAAAAGCAGCGCCCTGCTGTTTTAATGCAGATACCTCTCATGGTAACCTGAGGTCTGGCTTGCAGCAGAAATGAGTATTAGTATACATGTGAGAAGCTGCAACCTCTGGCAAACTACTGTTTGATGAATGAGTCTTAGCATTCATGGCCTCCTGACCATGAGAACGCCCTTCTCCACATCACGCCACATCCTTGCCACCTTTGCTTGTAATCTAAATACTCAAGGGTGCGGAAGCATCTGATCTGCCTCTGTAATTACACCACATTTCACAGGCATTAGATTAGCCTCTCCAAACAGGGGCCTCCACACGTCTAAAACCGTGGAGGGGCAGACAAAAAAGGAAGGAGAGGGGACCACATCAACCAAGTTATCAGGGAGAGTCTCCTGGCTGTTAGGGAAGGTCTTGGGGTAAGTCATTTTACTGGAGCATCCCATCTCTCTCATTCACCAAAAGCCAAACTGAAAAGTTAAAAATTATGGCCAACCCAGAAGTAAATTTGAGTTTCCTGTTTTAACACTTGTATTTTTATTATGACTAGATCGTTTGACAACAGTGCCCTGCACACTTTCCCAAGGGGTTGGAAGGCGCTTAAGACACTCACTAGTGTCCACAAGGGGGCAGTATGTCACACGGAAGAAGCTATAGTGCCTGTTACCAAAACTCAGTTTCATTCCAGTAATTTGACCCCGTGTCTCTTAGACTTCATTTTATACCGGCTTCCCTGCATTAGATCTAACTTGAGCATTCAATGGAACAAAGGGGATAAAAACTCGCCTCCTTCATCTTCAATAACAGCTTTATAATGCAAGTGGGACATAACTGTATGGATTTCAAGTGTAAGAAAAACCGCTTTGTAGCTGAGTGTGCTTATTTGAACAGACCTAAATCAGAGCTCCAGAATTACGTGATGTTATATAATGACAGCTTTACAATGTCTTTGCTTTTCAAAAAATCATACCAGAAGTGGAGTGTTTTTAAAGTTTCAGACCAAAATAAACATACCTGAAAACTCCAGATAGTTGAATCAATTGACTTAAACTACTGATTCCAGCTCTTCCAATTCTGTAAGTATATAAACACAACCTCAGAGCTCACTGATGGTCAGGATTTAACAGGCTCTCTTGTAAAGCTCACTTATAATATTTTCCTACCAATTGTGGTCAGTTCCCTATGCTGGCCCCCAGTCTCCACCAGGGTACACATTTTCTTACCATGGCTTGTGGCAGCCAGAGGGTGGAGATGGGAACGTCTTTTCTCCCCTGGGGTTTACAGCTCTCAGGAAAGCCTGTTCAGGATCTCCCAAAGCAAGAAGCTGGCTAAAGGTCTGGAAACCTTATGAAACAGAGACAGTTTGTTTTTCCTTCTGCTAAGACAGTTTGTTTTTCCTTCTGCTACTAGGGACTAAAGGAAATTGGAGGAATTAGGTTTTTTTTTAAGTTTACTGGACATTGTGTCTCAATCTCTGACTTCTCACCTTCACTATTTCTTCCTCAAATTAATCCTTGAGGATTCACAAACAAGAAATAGTAGCTAACTCAAAAAACCATTCTTTTAATTAAAAAGAGAGAAGACTCCATGCATGACCTAAGCCACTTCCCAAGCACTTAGGGGTTTGTGGTGTATAAAATTAAGATGCCTCCTCGTCAGGGGACCACCTCCCAACTCTCCCTCCCACCCAGTCCCACTATATGCCGCCCCCCTCACGCCGCCCCTATCACGTATTAGCAGGGGGCCTTCTCATTAGGAAGAGAAGGGGAGAGAAGAGCAGAAGATGAATTTCTACAAAGGAGTAAACACATATTAAACATCACTCACAGTGAGAGCAAGAAGCAGTGGCTGGGTCACACTTGGGAATCTTGCTGGATCAAAGACTTTATAACTGGAATATGAATTTTATGAGCAACTACAGAAATCAAAGAGTTCTAACAAAAGTACCAACTAAAATGCAAGGCTTTCGGCTTTTCGGGCAGCTGACAAAGTGCTAGCTCTCCACATTAATAGGCCTATCAATCAAATGAATTAACACTTTGGAAAGTCTCAGCAAGGGAAGGCACTGAGGGTCTGAGTGGCCCTGTGCTGATTCTTTGTTTCCCTCTAATGCTGCAAAACTGGGACTGGAACCTGGCAAGCAGGTGAGACAACTCTGTCCCCCAAGGGTTCTTCCCTGATGATAAGCACGTCACATGCAGTCATGCATTTTGGTCCACACTGCCACCCCTGCACTCTGAGATGGGAGGGCCAGCAGTTCTCTGTAGGTATTGTAAGAAACAGATCCAGGTTCATCCCAGGAACACTGAATCTGTGATCACTCCCACACTGATCTATACCCCTGTCTCCACTCTCTGCCTGATTCCCTCCTTCTTCCCACCCCCTTCACTTCTGTAGTGAGAAGGGGAAGGAAGTGGTGCTTCAGGTCAGCCCTGGAATAAAGAGGGCAAGAAGGGACATTAGAAAGAGAAAAAGAAAAAGAAAAAGAGGGTCACAAAATCCAAGAGACAAGCTTTCTATTTAGAAACAGAGCTGAATGGATGAAACAGGAAAGTGATGGGAAAGAATCTTCTACAACTGACCCCAGACTGAGTGTATCTCTTGGTGGAAGGAGTAAAAGCTACTGGGTGAGCAATGACCCAGGAGTAACAATTAATGCCAAGAAAAAGTGGGCTCAGCAATTCATAATTAAATCTTTCAAACGAGATAAAGTTTGCAGAAATCAGGGAGAAAACGTCTCTTATCTACTGGAGTGTACAGAAAGGTGCTAAAGCTCCAGAAGACGGATGAAAGAAAAAGAAAAAGAAAATCCACATTTTAATGAGTTTGTAAAGCAAGAAGAGTTGAGGCTGCTTAACTAACGTGATGTTACAGCCAGCACGCCACACGCAGAACAGGGGCACGTCACCCACACAGTGTGTGAAATGCTTCAGACTCAGAAAAATGCAGCCTAGGAGTCATCCAATCAGGGCAAAGAATAGGCTAGGAGTCAGCCAATCAGGGCAAAGAAGAGGCTAAGAGTCAGCCAATCAGGGCAAAGATGCTCAGAAAGCAGTAAAATGCATTACTTCTGGATCATAGAGAAGCACTCGTCATCCGAGGAAAACTGACAATACTCTGACAAAGCCTGCGAATTTATTTCACCTGAGACTTCTACCCTCACTTAGTCCTCTGTTCCTTCCTCTGGATAGCTGATGTAATACTACTTTAATTTAGCAGTTTGTGTCGGTAAAAAGTCCAGAGAAAAATCTCCCTCAGTGACCCAGATCCGGGCTCAGCTAATAACAGCCCATGGGGTAAGCCGTTTTCACATCTGTAAATGGTTGAGGAAAAGAAACCAGAAGAATAGTATTTTGTATTAAATGAAATTCAAATTTCAGTGCTTTTATTGTTTTACTGAAACACAGCCATGCTCATTCATGTGTCTATCAGCGATGGCTACTCTTGCACCAGAACAGCAGAGTAAAGTAGCTGCCAGAGACACGTGGCTCACACAGCCTAAAACACGTACTAGCTGGGCCTCGGCAGAAAATGCAGACCCCGCTCTAGGTACCCAGAAACTTAGCAGTCGTAACTCTGACCCCAAAGGCAGAGCGTAGAAAACTCTGGGGAAGGTGGCGGGAGTGTCTGAAAAGTGAAACAGGACTTGGTGTCAAACGATGGGGACAGACCCTGGCAGCCGCCCAGGCAGCTGGGGGGACTCACCAGTAGAAATGCTCCTCCACCATCTTGGTCACCGCCCTGGAGATGGCTCTTTCATGAGGGCCGAGGTTTTTGTTTAAATTCACTCCAAGTTTCTCTTCCAGAAAGTCAATTATGAATTCTGTCCCAGAAACTTTTTCATGATTATATTCAATCCAAGGCATTTTCCCTTGAGCAGAGAGTTTTCCACCAAAATAGTTCTAAGCAGAGCAAATTTTAAAAAGAGAAAAGCAATGTTTTATTTAAACCTCACTGTGTGATTAAAAGAAACAAACATTCCAATGGTATTAATTGACAGTGCTGTACTCTTCCAGTGAATGAGCTCAGCAGATAAACTCTTAAGGGAATAAATGGTTACTCTTGGGATTTAAAAAAAGATTTATCTCACAAGAAGATAGATTTTATCGTGGGTTCGGGCCTCCTGCTTTAAAAAAGAAGAGAGAGAGAGAGAGCAGGGAAGAAGGGGAGTGCTAAAATGATCCTGGTAAGAGTCAGTCAGGTTATAATGCATGAACAATCCAAAAATGCAAAAAGTGAAAATAAACCATGAGGAGGTTTGTACTGACCAGGCTACTGATCAAAAACCTCACTTGAAACCCAGAAGCTTACAGCTAAATGATGCTTAACACCACTACACTGCAAACAAGTGGTCCCAGAAATTGTAACTTAGTTGTGTCCAACTGACTCAACACCAGTGCCTGTCAAAATGCAGATTCCTGAGTCCCCTGCCCAGACCTCCCAGTCAGAATCTGGGCAATGGGGCTCAGAAATCTGTGTTTTTGACAAGTTCCCCTTTGGTTCATACCCATGCTGGAAGCTTACAGCGTCTCAGAGGACCCTGATCCCAGAATAGGGCGGGGTGGCGGGGGTGGAGTCACACACTTAATGAACACTGAGAATTACAAAGTAACATCTGCAGCTCACTGTATAAAAAGCCAAGATCTCAACCACACTGATGGAGGAGATTCTGTAGTAATAATTGCACGTATGCAACCACTTTTCTCAGTAAATCTGGATCATGCAGATTCCAAAGTTGAGTTTTAAATCTGAATCCATTTTTTGATGGTTTATACAGCCTAAATGAATCAGATTATTACAACTTTGTACTTTATATAAATCAATAGTTCTGATACCGTGGGTAATAACCGTGGCTCTACGGAAGAAACGGAACTCTCAAACACTATGGGTGGGAATGTGAAATGACACAACCACTCTGAGACCATCTGACAGTGCCCACCGCACTGGGCTGTGCTTGAGGGTCCTGGGCTCCTCAGACCTTTGAAGTAATATCACCTTTCTTATGGCTGAAAAGGAGAGCAGGTACTAGCTAACCGTTGCTTACTGCTTTCTTTGGTCAAGAAAAATGGGGGCTTTAATTGGACTCCGTCTCTTGGTGTCTTAGTACTGGTCTCACTGCATATTCTAAAGAAATTCATTCTGGGCCAAGCCTGGAAAAGGGAGTTACTGGGGCCACTATTAGCCATATCATGTCTGTACAATTTGGAAAACAGGACCTCCTCTGAGTGGACACAATCCATGTCTGGGTTCACAGCTTGGCAAGTAGAAGTGGATCCAGATTTTGCTCCTTGACCAGGCTGCTGTGCAGTGAACAACTTGCACAACCATACATGGCAGCCCTAGACATTAATCCTGATGTTGAGAAATGTCAAATCCCTTAGAAGTTGCTAGTACATCTGACATTCTTGTAATTTGTACTGTAAAGATGTCAATTTACCACAGAATCTGTTTCAGATTGCTCTTGATACCATCCATATCCTCCCACCACATCCCCTTCTAGACTCTTGTCATTCACAGATGGATTCTATCCTCCACCCTGACATCAGAGAGAACGGTTTACAATGCAAATGAGATGCAAGACCTCTTCTGCTCAAAATTACCAACAGCTTTAATGGGTCCAGTCTTATCCCCTTCACATAGCAGTCTAGATCTGTACCATCTAGCCACCGCCCACCTGCCCAGCCTCCCTGCTCCCAGTCCTTCTGGTCTCCTAAATTCCAACTGCCCGCTCCTAGCCAAGTCAAAGTCTTGCCATCTCTCTGACTTTGTACACTCTTAACCTTGTTCAAGAGTCCCTTTCCCCCTCATCTGCAAAGTCCTATCCATTCTAAAAAATTCAGTTCAAATTTCACCTTGTTGGTGAATTATTTCCTCGACATGCAACCATTATCTGCCTTTCCTCTGCTTCCACTGCACAGTGCATATTCCCCTCTGCTTATAGAATTACTATTTGTACATTTCCCTTTCCCTCTAGACCACCTATTCCCTGGGTATATATTTATCTAGACTATCTTTTTAACTTGGAATAATAAAAATTTGTGATGAACTCTTATGGAAATGAAAGCTCTAGTAGGCTTTCATCATCAAAATTTTATTTTTCTTACTAGATAAATGAGTAGGAGACAACACTTTAGAGACACTGTGATTACATCTAAAAATTAGCTGAATTCAAAAAGTATTTTTAAAAAGAAAAATGTCCAAAGGAACTGGCAAGACTATGTGTGAGATGTAGGTGACCTTCTTCCATGAATTTCAGTTTTTCAGAATGTGGTTATGTTACTTTAAAAATAAATACATATATATATATTTTAAAAGAAAACTTCATCTTCCTTAACTCCCTCAAACATATTAAAGAATCTATTTTTAGTCTATTATTATTTAAGCATCTGGAGTCTGACTGGACCACCAAGGGCAGTTTCTGAAAGTAATTTTCAGAAGAAAGATGAAGAGGTAATCCCTTTTATCTTTTCCAAGCTGTTTCCCTGTGCAGGTCTGTCCTAGGTGAGATTAATGCATCCACACATACACATTATTAGCACAGCAGCAAAAGCCGTAGGCTTTGGGTTTAAAAATCTGGCTCCATCATTTAGTCACTGTGTGACCATGGAGCTCCCTGGTCTTCCTCAATCCTACCTGGGCTCAGCAATAGTATGGGGATTATAACAGTTGTGAGGATTAAATGAGAAAATGCACATGAAGTATTTGACGGAGTGCCTTCATCAGAAGTATTAACATCACCCTCACCATTTTGAGATGAAGAACTTGAGACCTTAAAGGGAATCCTAGAGTCCTGGGACTCCGACTTGCTACACTGGCCATGGCGTCCTCAGCTTTTCATCTAAATTTATACCTATTATACTCACCGCACCTCTGGAGCTGTCTTATTTTTATTTATTTACTTTTTTTTTTTTTAGCAGGGGTGCTGGGGATTGAACCCAGGACCTAGTGCATGCTAAGCACATGCCCTACCACAGAGCTATACCCGCTACCTTTTGTTGGGGGTTGGTAATTGGGTTTACTTATTTTTATTTCAGAGCCATCTTGAAAGGACACCCACTGACTAAATTTGAGATAATTTGAGCAACTTTTGTAGATTATAACATGTTGGGAAAAAAATCCATGCATCCAATATTGTGACTAAAATGTACACGTATTAGTCTCTGCCCCTGGTTCCCAGCATCGAGCTCCTAAACCCCTTATAAATTCCTAAGTGATAAGAGCACTAGGAGCAGCTTTTGTTCTGTTGATGCCTCTGGTGGCTCCTGCAGGAACTGGTCACCAGAAAGACCAAGTCACAATTAGAAGCTTAGAATTGTCTGCCCCACCCCCATCCTCCAGAGAGGAGAGAAGGGTTGGACATGGGAGTTTTCAACTGATCATCCCTACGTGAGGAAGCCTCCATAAAATCCCAGAAGTACAAGGTTTTGCGAGCTTCCACTTATATGAACACATCCACACCAGGGCGGTAGGGGGAGGAAGGGACATTAATCCATGGGAACAGAAGCTCCCATACTCAGGACCCTCCCAAACCTGATTGTGTATCTCTTCATCTGGCTGCTCATTCGTATCTTTTATCATATCCTTTAATAAACTGGCAAATGTAAGTGTTTCCTGAGTTCTGTGAGCTGCCCTAGCAAGTTAATTAAACCTAAGGAGGGGTCGTTAGCACCTCCAATCTACAGCCAGTTGGTCAGAAGCACAGGTGACAACCTGGGCTTGCTACTGGCATCTGAAATGGGGCTGAGGGAGGGCAGTCTTGTGGGACTGAGCCCTTCACCTGTGGGGTCTGATGCTCTCTCTGGGTAGACAGTGTCAGAATTGAATTAAATTGTAGGCCACCCAGCTGGCGTCAGAATTGCTTGGTGTAGGGGAAAGCCTTCCCACATTTGACTAGAAGTGTCAGAAATGAAGTGTTTAGTGTGAGGAGTAAAGGAGAATCCCGGGGAGAAACGCACAGTAGGGAGGAACTGGGTTTCCCCTAGAGAGGAAGGAGAATCTGAGCATTCTTCTTTACAACTACGCATTGTCATCTTGTAGAAGAATGTCCTTATTTTTTGGAGATGCACACTGAAGTATTGAGGGGTGAAGTGTCATGATTTCTATAGCTTACATTCAAGTGTTTCATCAAAAAGATTGTTCATATAAAGAGAAATAGAGGGAAGAAGGCAACATGTTAACAACTGGTGCCTCGAGGTGAAGGACATAGGGATGTTCACTGTGCTATTCTTTTAACCCATCTGTCGCTTAGACAAATTCCAAAACAAAAAGATGGTGAGGATGGGGTGTACAGACAAGATCAGCAAATAAACAGATCAGAAGTTAGGGCTACAAGCCAAAGCAGAGAGTTTCAGTGGAGCCATTTTCTTTCCCATATTTAAAAAGAATGATTGTGTGAACTACATGCATCTTATACAACCAGTTATGGCAAACGAGGTAGGCATCTTTATGTATGTCTACAGGCAAGTGTGGAAAGACGGTCAGAAGTGGTGATGATAATCTGTAGCTAGGAGGATATCAATGATTTTTATTTTCACTTACACTTTTTTGTATTGTCTGAAATTCTTATAAGAACCATATGTCATCTATATGTACTCAAAATAAACAATAAAGCTATTTTCATCCTGAAAAAAATTAGCCATATCTGTAGGATCTTATACATTTTTGCAACTTCCTATGAACCTAAAATTATTGCAAAATGAAGTTTTCAAAATTGATCTTCCAATATTTATATCTTAATTTTAGAAAGATACTAACTGTGACCAATACATCAGACTTTTTTTAAAAAGCCTTGTGAGTTCCTACTAAGGGTCATCAAATATTTATTCCAGTCTCATTTAGGTTAAAAAATAAAAAAGCTTCAAATATAAAGTCGTGTTCTTAGGAACACGGCATTTTAAACTTTTTTTTTTTTTAAGTCACAGGGCAGGGAAGGGGCAGAGGGGAGAGCTCCCTGGGTCTATGACAAGCTTCCTCTCCACTGATCCTCCGAGCACTGAGCACTTAGCCCCACCAGCGCTGCCCAGGCACCGCCTGCATCAACAGAAACCTCACTGACCACACACGGTCTCAAGGCACCTCCTGCAGGCACAGAGCATCCCTCTCTAAACCACAGAAATGGTTTCCTTTTACCTAAGTCCCTGCACCCTCCACTGAACACCTGCTTCACAGAGACCTCACAGAAGGAAAAAGACCCCTATATCATTCCTTTTATATATATATAAAAGAAATAATCATTTGGGAAGGGATAAGCCTCCACAGGCTTCACAGGGAGGCATGTGTCCAGTTGCTCTAGTTATAGGATCTAAAATCTGAAACTTGAACCAAAGTGGTTGGGCATCGGGGAGAGATGGGCTGGGCAATCAGCGCTCGATGGCTTGAAGGCAGGAAAGGAAAGGGCAGCTCAGCCTGGCAGCTGACGCAGCCCGGCCAAGGGCGGGACTACTTCATCAGGGGTGGAGGGTGTGAAAGATCTAGAAGGCCGCCAGAGGCTTTGCGCAGAGAGTGAACTTGGTCTTGGGGCCCTAACTGCCCCAGAGCTGTCATGACTAAAGGCGGCAATTTGGTGGGGAGAGGACGGAAGCTGTCTCTTCCTTCAGCGTGCATCCCTCAGTGACACACATCTTCAAGTGCTGACTGCCACCACCCAGCTGAACAAGGATCTTTCAAATCCGATCCAATGCATTTGGATGATTCAAGCCTTCTCTGGTCTTTTGCTATTTTCTCCTTCATTGCCGGCTTCAAAAGTCCTGAATAATCTCCCTGCTTCCCTCTGCAGACTCAGCCCTTGCATTCTAGGTCCCAGTCATAAAGACCCTCTTTCTGTTCCCCAGACACCCCATGCCCTCTCAGATCCCCCAACCCCAAGCCCAGGTCCAGTGCTGCTCCACCATATTCCCTGAGAACCCCTTACCAAGCTGAGCATTCATTCAGCTGTCCCAGCACTGCCTCAGGAGGGTCACTGCCACCCCCATGCCCTCCTCTGCAGAGAAACCGGCTCAGAAAGCCCGTGGGGAGGCAGGAGTTGCAGGGCTAATGCCATTATCAGGGTGGCCAGAAGCCTGGCGGGGTGAGGAGCCCTCCCCCTATCAACCACGGTGGTGTGGGGATGCCTGGGGATCACCTCCTTGCTTTCCTGAGACGCCTTCAGGGGCACGCAGGCTGTGGTCTAAGCTTTAGCCCTTACCCAGTGCAAATTCCCAGGCAGGGAAGCTGACATCCCTAGCAAAAGGAGACTTCAGACCAAAACAACTAGACACCTGAGGAGTACAATTACTGTAAGAGATCGGCAACAGGTTGAACACATGTAACATGAGGCAGAATGACTGGGGCAGACCCAAAAAATTGTAAGAAAAAAGTATAAGAAATATCCTCCAAGGGATAAAGAAAGAGATTCTAACATCAACCAAGGGGAAATATGACTGGACATAATGGATGGGATACTAAACAGCGGATTCAGGAGAGGAGAGAGGGATGCAATGGAAGCTCAGAGAGACGAATTCTTCCAGAAGGGAGAAGACAAGAAGGAAGGGGTAGGTTCAGAGATACAGAAAATGAAAGCAGAGAGTCCAGGAGCCAGGTAATCGGGAACACGAAAGCAGGGAGAAACAAACAAATAAAAAAGGAAATATTTGAAGAACATTGGTAATTCCTCGGAATTAAAAAGAGACTGAAGATTTCAGATTGAAAAGAGTTTGTAAAGGACCAAACAAGATACACGAAGACTCACACCAAGCCACAATATGATATTTTGGAATGTTGAGATTTAATGCAAATTCTAAATGCTTCCAGAGAGAAAGAAAAAGAATGAGATTAACGTCAGACTTTTCAATAGCAACACTGATGCCAAAAGACAACAGAGCAACATTTTTAAAGTGCTGAAGGAAAAGAACTTTGAACACAGAAGTAGGAAATGTGCAGGCATATTAAAGGTGTTTCAGGCATGCAAAGGCACCGAAGGTTTGCCCATAAAGGCTCACTCAGAAAATATGCATCAGAGAAGTACTCAAATAAAAAGACAAATAAATCCTGCAGTGTAAGATATATGGGAAATTAGCCTAGTCAAATAAGATAGTAAGGTTTCTTGCCTAAAAAAGGACAAGAAAGAAAAAGGAAGGAAGGAAGGAAGGAAGGAAAAGAAAAAAGAAAAGAAAAGAAAAGAAAAGAAAAGAAAAGAAAAGAAAAGAAAAGAAATTAATTCCAAAATTCCTGAATTAAAACACATGATAACAGCAACACACCTGGAATGAGTCCTAGGAAGAAAGAGACCCAAATTCATTTGAACCTACTAACAGACTTGTATTACCAGAGGTAAATATAGATTCTGATACATATAAAAAATGAGTGGGGATAAATAAAGACAAATTTGGATCTTAAGAGCAACCACCATAACAACAAAAATAAAATGGTTTTAAATAACAAGAAAAAAATTCTTATTGATCTGTTAGAAAGCAGGAAATGAGAAAAAAATCTAAAAAAAAAAAACAACGAAGTATAGTAAGGAGGAAAAATATTAAATAAGATGTTAGAAAATATACCAATAAAATAATCCTTACAGGTGTGAATGGATTAAACTCACCAATTTTAAGGACTCTTAGATTGGCAATAAGTGATACATCACCTACAAGAGACGAATACCAAAAAAAAGAGGAAGAGGATAGAGAAAGATACTCCCAAATAAATATGAGCCAAAAGAAAGCTGGAGAAT